AGAATTTCAACCCATCAAAATGCATAAATAGAGGAGAAGTTCCCCTGAACACCATGCCAGTTGTCACTCAAGATAATTGTTTCAGGCCTAGATCAGTTTACTTGGGATAAATAATGAAAAACTAAGCATAGATGACATCATCATGTAAACACTAGTACCAAAGATAGCTAATATGCTTTAAGAGGGGAAGGGGATCTATTTGCCACACAGCAGGGAAAGGAACCTTATCCATGCATCCCTAAATTGTTACTTTTATTTTATGTACTGTGTTTAATCAGTTATTTAATTCTTTTTTTTTTTTTAAAGACACATTTCTTTCTTTCTTTCTTTATTTTCCCCCCTAAAGCCCCAGTAGATAGTTGTATGTCATAGTTGCACAGCCTTCTAGTTGCTGTATGTGAGACGCGGCCTCGGCATGGCCGGAGAAGCGGTGTGTCGGTGCGCACCTGGGATCCGAACCCCGGCCGCCAGCAGCGGAGCGCGCGTACTTAACCACTAAGCCACGGGGCCGGCCCCTCAGTTATTTAATTCTTATTGAATGTTTGCCATGTGCCAGATACTGTTTTAATTTCTGGTGATGTCATTGTGAACATGTCAGAGTCCCTACCCTGATGGAGCTTGCAGTCTAACCAGGGACGGCAAAACAGCTAGATAACATAGTACATCAACTAGAGATATGTGCTATGAAGGAAAATAAAGTAGGGAGTACAGAGAGGGTAAGATATTATTACACACACACACACGAACACACATACACATGGTAGATTAGGGAAAGCCACTCTGATATGGTGACATTTGAGCAGAAACCTGAAAGAAGTGAGAAAGAGTGAGCCATTTGAATATCTGGGGGATACGCATTATGGGTAGAGGGAACAGCAAGCACAAAGGGTCTGGGGCAGGAGAATGCTTAACTAGTTTCAGGCATACTTAGGGCCAATATGCCTGGGGTAGGTAGACCAGAATGGAGAGGAGGAGGTGAGGTCAGAGTAGGGCCTGATTATGTGTTATTTGTGCCCAGGACTTAGCCCTCTTGGGATAGACTAGAGGGTAAGTATAATCTATTGCATCAGAGGAAAGTTTACTTTGACTTTTGTTTTTAATGTACTGGTGAAGTTTGAAAAGTATGAACCTGAGCTTCCAAAATTATTCTTGATCCTGTTCCGCTCTTTATCTTAGGAAAAAGAATGTCATTAATTTTTTTGTTATAGTTTTGGTATGAAAGTATTATGTGCTTTTGAAAAATTAAAACCCTACAGGAGCGTTAGAAGTGCATAAGTAAAAGTTCTCCTTCACTCATATCCCCAGAATCATGCCCCAGATATAAAACTACTGTTGGTAGTTTTTTATGAATGCTTCTAGTAAGTTTCTATACATGTATAAGCATGCATGTGTATGTATGTATATTTCTTTTTTGTTATTCATAAAAAGGAAAATAGACAATAGGTGGTTTGACATTTTGGATATTTTACATTATTAGCACTGAGAGGTCTATCTGTTTAAAGGCTACAGAGAATTCCATTATATTGATAGTTCATAAATTATTTAAATTATCCCATATTCATTGACATTTTGATTGTTTCTCATTTTTAGTTATTTTGAACAATACTGTAATGGATAGCCTTGTATGTACGTATTTTGGTGTCTTTCTAGAAAATCTGTTGGATAAATTCGTAGCAGTGGAATTGCTAGGTCAGTAGATCAGTCATTATTTTTTTAAACTTTTAGTATAGACACATTAGATTCGGTTTTAGCTTACATATAATAAAATAAGACATGACTGGAGTAACGTGCTCAGAAGTTGTAGGTGCCTGATACCTCAAAAGGTGTGCTGCAGTGGGGATTTTACGTTTTGTATGTGGTCTTTGATTACTGAGGTTAGTTTTTTGTGTCTAAGATCGATTGTATGGAAATCTGAAATTACGTTTCTAATAATACAGTCCCAGAGAAATGGCAGCCTGCATATCACATATTAATTCCCCTCTCCCTCAATGCTTGGACAATTTTTGCCCTTTAAAACTTACTCTATAAGTCATGTTGTATAATTTTTAAATCGCAATGTCTCCTTTACCCAAAATTAAATGTCTTTTTTCTGTGAAGGAAAGGTGAAGATTTTTGTAAACTGGCAATTTAGCTTAGCTAATTTATCTTCTTATCTCATTAGCATTGTCTTATCATCCCTCTCAATCTTAGGTGTTTTATAAACCTTTTGGTTGAAGAGACATGTAAAAAGGAAATAATGTTTATGCAATTCCCTGTGTGTTTTCACAAACCACATGAAAAATAGAAAAATGAAGAGACACTCCTTTAGATAAAATGAGCTTTCTGTATTGTTATTCCTAACATTTTCCCCTCTTAAGAGGGCCTGGTGCAAACTGCCTGTTTAAAAGTTTGATTATAGAAAAAGCCTAAATCTTTAAACAAAACCAGCCCCCTTCCCCCCCCAAAAAATGAGTATATTTAATCTGGTCCAAAATTATCAAAATAGGTTTATTTATATGATAGAAAAGGCCATTTCCTTCTCTATTTTTCATAAGTTTCCTTTGGTTATTAAAAGAAGTTCAATTCAGGGACCAGTGGTTAAGTTCACGTGCTCCGGTTCTGTCGCCTGGGGTTTGCAGGTTCAGGTCCTGGGTACAGACCTATGCACCACTCATCGAGCCATGCTGTGGCAGCATCCAGTATACAAAATAGAGGAAGATGGGCACAGATGTTAGTTCAGGGCTAATCTTCCTCAGCAAAGAGAGGAAGATTGTCAACGGATGTTAGCTCAGGGTTGATCTTCCTCACCAAAAAAAAAAAAAAAAAAAGTTCAGATTGAATAGCATTGCATAATAGAAAGGAAAGTACACTTATTATACATATTACATATGACTTGATCAATTTAACATAGGAAAGTTAAATTCCACCAAAAGAAAATAATCCTGCTTGTAATTTTGTGCCTTTATTATAAACGTATGGTTTTATGACATTTTGGAATTTGAGAAGTATGTCATCGGAACAGAAGGAATTAACAATTTATATTACAATTTATATATATATGTATATTAAATTATTTTATTGAGGTCATAATGGTTTATAACATTGTGTAATTTCAGATGTACATTATTATTTATCAGTTTCTATATAGACTGCATCGTGCTCACCACCAAGAGTCTAATTTTTATCTGTCACCATATATATGTTCCCCTTTACCCACTCCCTAACCCCTTTACCCCCCTTTACCCTCTGGTAACCACTAATCTGTTCTCTTTATCCGTGTGTTTGTTTATGTTCCACATATGAGTGAAATCATGTGGTGTTTGTCTTTCTCTGGCTTATTTTGCTTAACGTAACACCGTTAAGGTCCATCCATATTGTTGTGGATGGGATGATTTTGTCTTTTTTTTATGGCTGAGTAGTATTCCATCGTGTGTGTGTGTGTGTGTGTGTGTGTGTGTGTGTGTGTGTGTGTACACACCACATCTTCTTTATCCATTCATCAGTTTACAATTTATATTGAACATACACAAGTCACAAGTATATTCAAAGATTGCCAGATCCAACTTGTGGAAGAAAAGAATTTATTGTGTGTGCAAGTTATGGCCCTAACAGCACTTACCTTTGATGGATTCAATCTGTGATCAGACATATATTTGATAAAAACGATAGAGCAAATAAACAAGTTTGTCATAGAGAAGAATATCACTTTCTAAGCTTAAACTTATTCTATCTTGAGATTAAGTTTTTCCATTCCTTAACAGGACACCTTACAGGAAAACACGAGAGACATTTCTCCATTTCAGGATGTCCGCTCTATCATAACCTCTCAGCTGACGAATGCAAGGTAATTGTATTCTCATTTATTCAACATACACTTATTGAGTGCTTACCATTTGCCAGGCACTTTGCTAAACAATGGGGATATAGTATGAACAAAATGAGCAAGGTCCTTCTTACGTTCTAGTGGAGAAAACATCATAAAAAACAACTGTGTTTTTTAAGAAAATAGACAAATAAAAGAATTATAGTATGTAATGGGTGCTTTGAAAGGAAATAACAAGGAGGTTATGTATGGAATATTTGGAACACCACCTTCTAGTGCTTTGATGTTTTCCATTGAAAGTTAACTTCAGAGACTGCTAGGAACCTTTTCTACTAAGGAATGATTTGCATAAATATGTGATCTCAATATTTATGCGTTAAGTTCTGTTATAAATCTATGAAAACATTTTACTTTTAAAAAGTTGTTCATAATTATTCTCTTTGTCCATCTATTTCTGCGGAATACTTTTCATTTTTTGTTGTTACTCTCTATGACACCTACTCTTGGCTTATTCTTGTTTTAAATTCTTGAAAAATATAGTCCTAAATAACCTTCGGGATTTTGGAATAATGGATTTAGGAGTAGAGCCTAAGATCTTAATTTGTATGTTCCTATATGGGCTGCTACCAAGGATGGAACTGAAAACTAATTATGGGGAAGCAAGAGTTGAAAATGTTATTAATTAAATGGATTGCTTGGGTAGTATTTGGACAGGTTATCCAAGCTGGTTAGAGGAAAGTATTAATTGTTGTTTTTGTGGTGGTTATTTTACTAATAAGGCTGGGGTCATGGGTTTATTCCTGTCTGAGCCAGTTTCATCCTGCGAAGAATTAGATTCCCCAGCTAACATTAATTCTCCCTGATTCAGGAATTTGTTCTCTTGTTTACAAGTAGACCACACGATGGAAAGTTTCTTTGTGTGTTTAGTCTTTCAGCAAAGTAGTATATTTTCAGTGCTTGTATGCATTTTAAGGTTGAGGACACTTACTCTTATTTTTCTTCATTCCAAATCTCTTGTATAAGCAAGACAGTTTCTTCCATTCTGTTTAAGTAAGTGGTAGGTCTTCCAGTTATCTTCCCTTAGTCTGAGACCAGATCAAAACAGGAACAACTCTGCCAACGTCTGCGTCAGAAGCTGACAAGGTATTAGGTACTTCTTTCTCTGAAAATAACTGTGATCTCTCTTTTTTGAGAGTTGTTCTCTACCGCTTGTTTTTAAATATAATAATCTGATACTGTGGATGGTTTTACATAAAAGTCTTCCTAAGGTATAGCTTTAAAAGTTGTTGGCTTGTAGCAATAGGAACATGTAACCTTAAGCAATTTATTTTTAAAAAAGAAAAAGAAAAATTTTAGTTTGGGAAACAAAATTCTGAAAAAAGGAAAGCATCTCCTGAATTTTTTCTCTTTTGTGCTCTCTTCTTGACAAGGGGAATCAGGTTCAGCGTAATCCATCTTTACTACTGGAACATGTGCTTGGAGGACCAGGAGAGTTTTTGAAAGATATTTATTTTTATTACATTTAGGATCCCAAATGGAAACATTAGACTAATTTCTCACATTTATTAAAAGCTCTAGCATTTTTAAAGTACTTGCACATACGTGATTACTCTGAGTTTCCTGGTAAACAGTTACAATCAGTGATATTACCATTTTTATTCAGTCAGATTTCTGTGAGTGCATGTCCCAAGCACTGCACAGGTATCTGAGGGATGCTGTGAATGAGATGAAACACTGCATTCAAGGAGCTTACATTCTCCTGGGGGAGGCAAAATCAACATATAAATTAATAAGTAAATAATAATTTCATGTAGTGATAAATGCTGTGAGGAACAAATAGACCAAAGATACAGAGAGTGTTTAGGGCTGATGGGGGTATGGCACTGCTTTTGCTTGGGTCGTTTAGGAAGACCTGGAATTGGCATTTGATCTGAGTCATGACTAATGGTGAAGAGGCAGTTAGTTGTGTCAGGATCTACGAGAAGAGATCTAAGTAGAATGAGCAAGTGCAAAGGCTATGAGGTGGGGATAAACTGTTGGGTTTGAGGAATCGGAAGTATGCGTGTGTGGCTGGAGCATCATGGGAAATGAAGAAGCAGGATCCAGGTCGTGAAGGACCTGTAGGCTTTGGCACAAGGAGTGTGTGGTTATTGTCACGGCAATGGGAAGCATTTGGAGGGCTTTAGCAGAGGTGTGATATAATTTCATAAGCACTTTCTAAAATCACAGCTTGCTTGTATGTGGAGAATGGACTGGAGGGGGCAAGAGTTGACCCAGAGTAGACTAGTTGGAAGGCTCCTCCAAGTTCAGGTAATAGATGGTAGCCTGGGCTGGTGTTGTATCAGTGGAGATAGTAAGAATTGGTTGCATTCAGGATATATTTTGGAGGGGAGCCGCGTAATAGATTTGATGTGAGGTGTGAGAGAAAAAGAAGAATCAAGGATGACATTCAAGTTTTTGACCTGATCAATTGTTTAGAAAATACTGCTATTTATTGATACAGGGAAGAATTAGGGTTGAGCAGATTTGAGGGGGGACGTCAGTTGTTCTCTTTTGACCATGATGAGTTTTAGTGTTGAAGTTGAACAGGCAGCTGGATATGAGTTCCTCACTTCCCAGAAGATGAAACTGAAGCTATTGGAGAGCTAATGTAATTTAAGATCACATAACTACAGATTTAAGTTTCTTTATAGCCTTGACCCCAGGTATCCAACCTTTTCTTTGTGCTCATCACTTTATTCTTGCGCTTCCTCATACTGTTTCTTATGCCTTGTACAGTGGAAAGAGTCCAGGCTCAGAGTCATCAGACTTAATTAAAATCTTAGCTTTACCATCGTTTAGTTGTACAGTCATGCGCTGCATAACGACGTTTCGGTCAACAATGGACTGCATATACAATGGTGGTCCCTTAAAACTAATACCATCTAGCCTAGGTGTGTGGTAGACAATCCCATCTAGGTTTGTGTAAGAACACTCTATGATGTTTGCACAATGATGAAATCGCATAACGCATTTTTCAGAATGTATTCCTGTTGTTAAGTGGCACATGACTGTAATTATTTCACTTGTCTGATTCTCAGTTAATGGCTGAGAAAACAGAATGTGGAGTTTGCCTTATTTCTTTCTTATAGAGATTGTGATAATAAATGTGAAGACCCTTTAAAAGTAAAAGTACAGGGCCTTCCTGGTGGCGTAGCGGTTAAGTGCGCGGGCTCCGCTTCTGCTGCCCGAGGGTTCGAGGGCCGGATCCCAGGCGTGCACGATGCACCGCTTGTCAAGCCGTGCTGTGGTGGCGTCCTGTGTAAAGTAGAGGAAGATGGGTACGGATGTTACCCCAGGGCCAATCTTCCTCAGCAAAAAGAGGAGAATTGGCATTGGATGTTAGCTCAGGGCTAATCTTCCTCACACACACACCCACACACAAAGTACAGCATAAATTCAAGGGATTACTATTGTATTCTTATGCTTTAAGTAAACATAGCCTTAGAAGCAGGTGGATTTATTGACGTTGTTGATGGTTACAGGTGAGAGCACAGAGCCGGGATAAGCAGATAGAAGAAAGGATGCTGTCCCACAGGCAAGATGACAACAACAGGCATGCAACCAGGCACCAGGTATGGGCCTTGTTAAAGCTCTGGCCGTTCACAGTTTAAGAGCCAAGTCTTGGATCTCCTCTGCCCCATAACTGTGTTTAGGTGTATCCATGCCTCTGGTTTCCTATGGTTTATCTAAATGACTGGTCTTCAGTCATAAACTCAGAATCATATTTGTCTTCCAAATAGTAAATTTTCATGAAACAAACACTTCTACCTTATAAATGAAGGAATCATGCTATCTCTAATAATAATAATAAGAGAATAATAATAAAAGATAATCCTGATTATTTGGGAGATTACACTTGCTGCTCTATTTCCTCATTTTCCATCTACTTTTTAATCCATTGTAATTTACCTTCAGACCCCTCTGCTCTGCTGGCATGTTTCCAGGGTCATCAGTGGCTTTTCCTTAGCGTTTGACACTTGTTCATTATGTCATTTGTCTTCTACTTCTCTCTTCACTGGGCTTCCGAGATGCTGCTTTGCCCGAATCCTTCTTCCTCTCTGAACATTCATGCCTGTTGATTACACTTAATTCCTTGTTCCTCCCTGAATGCCTTTGGTCTTTGCTCTTGCTGTTTTTCTGCCTAAAACTCTATACCTGTACCAAGAAGAGATTGTATTTATTCCTCAAGGTCTTGTGCAACTCTCCACTGTTGTAGGAGTTCTTCCCAAATCTTCTACCATGAATGAATTCCTTGCTCATGTATTCCCATAGTAATGTTCTTAGAATGTTAGTTTAGCCCTTTTCACATTACATATACGTAGCTCATCATATGGATGTCTGTTGTTGTGGTTAGATTATGAGTCATAGCACGAGAAGCATGGTGATGAGGGAGTTGGGCTTTGGAGCCAAACAGATCTGGATTTGAATACTGTGATTCTCTTATTCTAGCTGTGTGGTCTTGGGTAGATCAGCAGACCTCCCTAAACTTTATTTCTTTGTTAATAAAAAGGAGTGAATAATAGCTACCTGGCAGGGTAAATTATGCATATAAAGTACCCATCCTCAGTGCGTGGAAGTAATAAGTGCTCTTTAAGTGGTAGCTACACTTTTTTTCATTGTCTGTCTTGGGTTCTATTCTTATTCAGTTCTTAAATTTTTATTCATTTTTGTGTCAGTACTTGGAAAACAGTAAGCATACAATAAATACCTATTGAATTGAAATGATCCTTGTTTTATTCCTGTTGCTTTGGTGGGGACTTGCATCCTTAATTTATGTCCTGTTTGGGTTAATATTAAAATAAGTACATTCCTGAACTCATATTAACTGAGAGGGAGGGTAATGGTCTAGGTGATGAGGGAACCTGATTTGGAACTTTAAAATTGCTGTAGGTTTTACAGGATGGATGTAACACATCTGGTGTCCCCCCTCCCACCTTTTTTGGTTACTTTCATTTTGAAACTTAATTACATAATGGGTTTTCTAGCCAGCTTCTCAGTTTTCTCTTTTTTCCTTTTAGGCACCAACAGAGAGGCAGCTGCGATATAAGGAAAAGGTGGCTGAACTCAGGAAGAAAAGGAATTCTGGGCTGAGCAAAGAACAGAAAGAGAAATACATGGTGAGAAAAAGTTAAATATTTAATTAGCATGAAGCCTTGCTCTCACATTTGATTCCTTTTGGTTTCTAAGCTTCTGCTTTTCAGGTTTGCCATTTGGTATTCGAAGGACTCTTCTCTGGCAGTTAGAGTTTACTATAATCCCCCAAAAGGGGGTTGTTAAGAGTGGAAACAGGAATCTTCGAGAAACAAAATACTGTTAGAATTTAGATGAAAAAAAATTCAATCATCTAGTTGTTTGTAAACCTCACTTGAGCTTTAAAGGGTTAAATTCACCCACTCAAACAAATACCATGATATTGGAGATGTCTGTATAATGAAAAATATTCAAGCGAAGCAGTATCTACTTATTTTAAGGAAAAATAAAATGTCTACATGATAAAAGGTATTAATCGGATAATGTATTCTATAATAGATCTTTTTGTAGTTTTACTTTTTTTTCTAGTTTTAAAAGTAATGCACATTTGTAATAGAAAATATAGAATGGTTAAGAAAAGTGTATAGAAATAAACATTACCACAGTTAGCTTTTTGGGTTATATCCTTCTGGCTTTTTACGTAATGCCTTATTTACATAATTTGGATATTACTATAAGTACAGTTTTGAATTCTGTGTTTTCTCTTAAATATTTTGAACTAATTTCCTCATTTCAATTAAAATTCTTCAAAAAATTTTTTGCATAAGACAATTTTTATGTAAAGATTCATTTTGTCATAAATGTATTAATAATGCTTACTATTGAGAATACCAAAAATATAGAGAAGAAAAATTCCAAGGAAAATCACCCACCAAGGTATAAACCACTGTTAACATATTGGCATGTGATCTCTTTTTATGATGTGTATTTTTACTTTATTTTTTCGTGGAGTTGGAATATTTGCTGATTTAGTCATTAGAATAATTATGAAAAGTATGTTTTGTGGATATTTAGATAGCATGGCTTCCCTAAGACAAAAATATGCCAAACTATGTAGTTACTTTTTTGGTAGTCATCACTGTCTTGAAAATGATAACCGTATGAATAAAGGGAGATGGGCCAATATGAGATGACT